CCCCAAAACCCCAAAACCCCAAAACCCCATGAAGCACTTAAATTCAAAACTAAATAAATAAATAAAAAAATGAAGGTATCTCCTTTCTCCATTCCTTCTTTTACCCCAATGTCTGTTACAAATCTCACATCTCTGTTGTAGCCCAGAAGAATTCAAGTGAAGACGGAGAAGAAAAGAACGAGGAGGCTGACGGTAAGAGAGAGGTTGAGTTTTATAGGAGGTTGGGAGGAATAGAGAGGTGGAGAGGGATGGTAACAACCACCCACCCTCTCTGCACAACACCCCTCGAAACTCATCCTCAATCCCCAACACACCATCCACCTACAAAATCTACACTTCCAAACCCCCCAAAATCCTCCACGACTATCGTAAGCCTCTATTCCCACACAAAAACCCACCTAAACCCCAAAATCTCCACACAAAAATCCTAAATTTACTCTAAACCTCAGTCACCACCACTAAGAATACCCATAAACGTAGTCGAATCCCCATAACCAAAGTGGAACTAAGTAAAAATTCAGCCTTTAAGTGGCTACGACTAAGGTTTTAGAAAATAGGAATGGCCTGTTAGTGAGAATAGGGGTTTTGAGTGGGAAGATTTGTGTAGAATTTGGGTGGGATTAGGGGAGAAGAGTGACTGGGGTTTAGTGGGGCTGTGAAGGCGGTGGGAGGGGTTTTGGGGGAAGGGGGTGGAGAGGAGGGATAAGGGGGCATTAGAGCGTTTTAGGGGGTTTAGGAGGGGTTTTGGAATGATTGGAGGGGATAGGTTATAGTTATAGAGCCGTGGTGATTTTATTTTTAGGAAATTTGAGCACAGAGGGAGAAAGTTTTAATGGTTATCAGTCTTTCTCTTCTGGTTTGAAGATGAGGAAAATGTATATGAGTACTACGACAAATGAAAGTTCAAGGTATGTAGATGCTGTAAATATCATGAGCTCCAGCTGCCAAATACCTTTCTAATTTTCCTTTCTCATAATTTATAGGAAGGTATCTAATGTAATTAACAACTAATTTCACATATATTATATATCAATGAAACTGCATCAAGGTTTAACCATCTATAACCTCAAATAATATTTAAAGCTTGAGATGATGTTTTGCTTAAAACTCTACCCATCATCCATCATCACATCTTCACTTAATTACTTTAAATTATATCTCTTCTCATATTATTCCTTTCTTGCCCTATCAAATTTTCGTTCAGCAAAGAGCCTGATCTCTAAACTCTATCAACATTTGCTTCTTTAAAGCTTAAATTTTACAGTAAAACTTATGACTTTTCCCAAATTCTAATTTTCCTTTAAATTCCTCCTTCTTGAAATTTTTGAATTCAAATTTAATTTACCTGTAAAAATCAAATTTGAATTTCTAAAATTCTTCCAGCTGGATGCACTACTTTACAGCTTGTTAACATTCAGACTTATTGGCATGCAAGTAATGAGTTTTATAGGTTAACACAGACCTTAACTACCACTGGAAGGGGATCCATAGCGACAGACATAGACAGATTGATGAACGATGCAGAAAGAACCAGATTTCAGAGGAGATATGAGAGAAGACTTACTAAATTGATTCAAGGAAACCAGATTCCTAGTGATTTTATTAGTCTGGCTCTCATAGACCACCTCTCACAAAATTTTACTAATACCATTGATAAAAATGATGAAGCTAAGAGTAAGCCTTTTAATTAAAAAATTTGACTTTATTTTTGCTACTTTTCCATTATTGATAACTCTAAAAGATATTACTAAAGATGACCAAAATATCAATGAATCGAACTTTACTTTTCAAGAGCCACAAAATAAAAAGTACAGGAGAAGGACTATATCAACGCATCCAAATATAAGTAGTTCAAACCAATCTATTGGACTTCAAGAGAATGGATACTCAGAAAACCCTGCAGAAAGGATCAAATTCTTAGAAAATTTAGTTTGCTTAAACTCTAAGTTCCAAGAAATCCAAGATAAAAATGACAAGAATCACGCAGAGCTTAAATAAACTCCTAATAGATCAAGCAAGCAATTTTTCCTCAGGAATGAAAACTTTCAAAAGACAAATCTCTAAGCTCACTAAAGAAATGGAGAATCTTAAAGTGAATGGCTCTGAAAGAACAATATACCAGACTGTTAACGAGCCTTTGAGCTCCCAGAACAACAAAAGCACTCTCAAAATCTCAGTTTCTAATCTAAATGATACTTCCTCAAGTATTTCTCGGCCGTGACCTCTATAGGCCCCGGTAGCCCTGAAACTTGTAAAATGAAATAAAATGAAGACAAGCAAAACTGAGGATTTGGATGAGTTCTCAGGAACGACAGAAGATAAAATTGGATCTAAGGTGAGTTTTTAATATGTAGTCTATTGGTGTCTGGAAGGGGAAGGTCACTGCTATCCTTACTTAGAGCTTTTGATCTCGTTTTGGTGAATATTGGGATTATTAGTAAACAAATTAGGTTCGGATAGAATCACCCATTTTGGGAAAATGGCTATGGTCCTTTAGCGGTCCAAGGGTGGTAGATCGTTTAAATTAGCTCTATTTCTATCAAATGAATGGCATGGAAGGCTAAGTATCTTCTGCCAGAATTATATTTAGCCTCCTTCAAGATGCTGGTGGCTCATAAGATTGCCTGAAAGGCTTAATTTAAGATTTAAGCAATATGAACTGCTTCAAATTATTATTGAATGTTATTGTTATTCAAGTCTTATCTTAAGCATCTTTTAATTCATTGCTAATGTTGTTTTCTCTTTTAAATATTATGGCTTTTGGTAGCCTATTTTACTCTTTGAGAGGGAGAGAAATGATATATAATATAGAAAATAGCAGCCGCAGAAGCTATGGATCGTCTTTTATCAATCTACGATTTAGTGATGAAAAGAGGAGATATTGAAATTGATTTTTCCAAGATCTCCGATATTTATAACCAAACATTTGATAAGAAAATTAGTAATTTGTGTCAATAACTTTTAGCGCCTGAGAAAGCAAGGGAAGCCTTAAAAGATTATTTCAAGATTCTCAGTAAGTCTCCGGTTGTCTCTACAATATCCTGATAACTCCCCTATTAATTAATAAAATTGGGATTTATAGAGTTGAGATTATGCTCAGCAAAGTAAAGATCTGAGGTTAACTCTTAGCTAAAACTCTGAGGCTAACATCTTAAGCTTTTTTAGGCATAAAAATGTCGAATTCTTTAATTTACACATAAAGCAACATTGAGCGTAGGACTCAAGTGCCTGAGTAATCGACTCAGGCCTATTTAATGTCAAACTCTAGCTTTAAACTGATGCATACAGATATTTTTATGAATAAATTTTTTCTTAGAGTAGAGCACATTTTTGTTCAAGAGATATCATACTTTCTTTAGCCAATCCATATTGAAATTTTCATAAGCTATCGTATGCTGAGAAATACTGTTGATATTTTTGTGATACACTTCAGAGGATAATTTCATTACAGGCTGTAGTTGAGAGTGAAAACTCTATCTAAATTCAAATGGGTCTGACCATATTGTCTATTTTATAATTACTACTGTACTTTGCCCATATCTGATTTAGAACAAAATAAAGAAATTGGAAAGAAACAAAAGAAACCCAAATACGGAAGAAAGAAAGAGAAGACACTATTTTATCAGAGTTCAAGAATGGGCGCTTTTAACTCCAACTATTTAGCTCCATATCAGCAAAAAGAAAAAAATAAGATGGAGAACAACTCTGTCAGTGAACAAAGGTAATTTTGATTTTGGAGAAGGGCCCAATTCCAATAATGGCTATCATAACTTTCGAGTAAATTTCAACAAGGAATTAGCTTTGGTAGAGAAATGAATTAATTTTAATGTGTGAAAGACATTAGACCTAACTTGATTGTTTCCTAATGTTTAAAATAAACCTCGTCTTCTAAACAAGTTTTATCCTTTCAGTCCTAACGTAACATTCCAGATGTATTCTTATATCTCCAAAACCCACAATCATCCCTGAAATGTTTATCTCCTCTTTTAACCCTCTTCTTATATTTCTAAATTTCACTTAAACTCACCAAAACTTCACAAAATCTTGAAAAATCTTCGACTCAAAATCTAACACAAAACAGTGCAAATTTCTGCCCAGACAATTCACCAAGAAATCATTACAAGAAATACACCAAACACTCCCCTTTAAAGAAGGAAATTTCAAAGAAGATTTCTGACATCGGTACCCGTCCTTCTTAACATCCAGTCCCAAAGAGTAACAATTCTCCCAAACACCCAAATGTAAAATCCCTAACAATACAGCTGTAGAACTCCACTCAAGAGCCAAATAGATGTCTCTATTGTCATATTCACACTGATACAAACAATAGTACCTTCAAACAGTACTTTTTTGTATGTAAATTTAGGAAAACGAGCAGTAAAGAGTCTGAAGAGCAGTATAAAGAGTTGCAGACAAGATTAACCAAGCAGGTGACGGATAATAAGGATTTGTTCTTTTAATCTTGGGGTTGAACGTTGAGGGGATTTTGGAGTGTGTGGGGTTTTGGGGTTTTGGGGTTTTGGGGTTTTGGGG